CCGCCACCACCAGCAGCAACAGCAACAGCAGCAGCAGCAGCAGGGGATATAGCAGCAAGAAGGCTGCAGCTCTATAATCTGCAGCGCCAAGATGGTGGGGTTCTTTCGCATGATCGGCTGCTGTTGCAGCAGGCTTACTATGAAACTTCCTGGCTGAGGAGGCGTGCAGCAGGCGCGGAGGTCCGCTAGGGTTTAGGGTTTAGGGTTTAGGGTTTAGGGTTTGGGGTTTGGGCTTCAGGCAGGCGTTTTAGGGGTCTAGGGTTTAGGGTTTGCATCGCTTTCCGTGCGGTGGCTAGCTTCTGCAGCAGCTAGAGCAGCAGCAGCAGCAACAGCAGCAAGAACAGCAGCAGCAACAGCAGCAGCAGCAGCAGCTTGCTGCCTTTCGGTTTTATATTTTACTCCCTTTTGGTTGTTTATTCACATCTCTTTTATTGATTTTTGTTTGTTTGTATTTATTATTTGACATTGTATTTATTAATATATTAATTTATAATTTATTATTTTATTTACCCTAAATTTTATTTATTTTTGTTTATTTTATTGCTGCAGGCTAAGGCGCTGTGCATTAACCCACTAAGACCTGAGTACTTAGCAGTTGCAGTCAACGACCCAATTGTTCGGGTGTATGATAGAAGAATGCTGTGTCTAAGCGGCCTCCGCACATCAACAGCAGCAGCAGCAGGAGCAGCAGGAGGTGCTGCTGTTAGTAGTGGTGCTGGTGCTGGTGCTGGTGCAGCAGCAGCAGCAGCAGCAGCAGCAAGAGAGCAGCTACCTTCTGCTTCGTGGAGCATCCGAGGCCAAGTGCCTTGTGATGTATATGCACCTTCTTGTCTTTGGTGCGATCCCTTTGAAAGCAGCGAAGGAGTCGGGCGTCAGAGGCTGCAGCACCCCACACATATTGCGTAAGCCCTGCAGCAGCAGCAGCAACAGCAACAGCAGCAGTGGTAGTAGCAGCAGGAGAAGGAACAGCGGACGCGGAGCAGAGCGGCAGTGAAGTGGTCGCAGCACCCTCTATAGAACTGCAGATACCTAGGGCCTAGGGTTTAGGGTTTAGGGTTTAGGGTTTAGGGTTTGCGTGTAGGTGGTCGGAGAGCGGGCGTTATTTAGGTGCTACCTACGGCTGTGATGCTGTTTATACATTTCGTTTTCTAAGCCAAACAGAGAAAGAGTTCTTGCCTCCGGTTGCTGCTTCTTTTGATTTTAACTCTATGGAGTCTGCTGCAGCAAAAGGTGCAGCAGCAGCAGCAACAGCACAGGCCCACGCACTCGCGTGCCTCGGTTTCACTAGCAGCAGCAAAAGCAGCAGCAGCAGCAGCAATGGCTGCCGCTGCTGCTATTGCTGCAGATCCGAAGAGCCCAGCACTACGTGTGGGGTCTCCGAGCAGCAAATTAGGGCCTGGCAGATGGAAGGAAACTCCCTCAGTAAGCAGCAGCAGCAGCAGCAGCAGCAGCAGCAACAGCAGTAGCAGCAATAGCTGCAGCAATAGCTGCAGCAGTAGCTGCTGCTGCTGTTGTACAAACAGTTTTGTGGTGCTTCACCTTTCGCAGCAGCATCACTAACAAGAGGAACAGCTGCAGCGGTAGCAGCAGCAGCAGTAGCAGCAGCAACACCAACAGCAGCAGCAGCAACACCAACAGCAGTAGCAGCAGCAGCAGCGTTTGCGTCTGACAGCATAGGGGGGGTTTGTTCTGGGCTTTCTACTTTCCTTTTCTCTGTTTGCGTTTGTTGCTGCTGCTCTTGCTGCTGCTGCTCTTGCTTCTGCTGCTGCATTTGCTGCTGATGCTGCGTTTGCTGCTGCAGTGGAGCGTGGCTTAGAGGGGATGGCAGTGTGCGCATACACCCGAGCGCTTCGGTTTGCTGCTGCAGCAAGGCTGCGAGTACCGCTGCTGTGCAACAGGGCCTTAGCGCAGCTTCGCTGCGAGCGCCGCTTCGGTTTGTCTGCTGCAGCAGCAGCAGAAATTGATTCCAGAGAGGCAATTCATTTAGACCCAGATTACCCCAAAGCATACTACAGGTGCGCAGCATTAGGGTTTAGGGTTTAGGGTTTAGGGTTTAGGGTTTAGGGTGTGGTGCTGCAGGTTGTCTGCGAGAAGTAGCAGCACCAGCTGCGGCAGCGGCAGCAGCAACGGCAGCAGCAGGAACTGTTGTTGGGTGTTGGGGTGTATGTGCAGGTTAATTGCTGCATTGAGGGCCTGCAGCAGCATCAGCGCAGCAGCAAAAGCAGCAAAAGAAGCAGCAGCACGATTTCCTTCTGTAGGGGAGTTCAGGCGTATCTGCCGGCAGCTGCAGCTCGACATGGTGTACGTACACCCCAGCTAAGCAGAGACAGCAGCAGCAGCAGCAGCAGCAGGAGCAGCGGCAGGAGCTGCAACAGCAGCAACAGCAGGAGCAGCAGCAGGGGAGGCCTAGTGCTGAAGGGCTGCAGCCTGCTGCTGCTCTTACCTGTGCTGCTGCTGTTGCTGCTGCTGCAGCAGCTGCTGCAGCAAATATAGTTGCAGTGTGGGGTTGATGGTTGTGGGTGGCGCGTTGGTGTTGCTGTGGCTGCTGCACACTCCGTTATTGATTGCTTTTGCTGTTGCTGCTGCTGCTGCTGCTTTGTTTGCGGTGTATGTACAGCCGAACGCAGAGCCTAGAGCGCTTCTTTAACCCCGGCTCTTTGCTGCGGACGTATCCATCTTGTAGATTAGATGAGCTTCAAGAAGAAATACAAAGAAGACAGAGGCGGCAGCGAAGACGCCAGCAGCAGCAGGAGCAGCAGCAGCAGCAGCTGCAGCAGCAGCAGGAGCAGCAGCAGCAACAGCAACGCCAGCAGCAAAGCAGCGGGGATGTGCAAGAGCACCAACGGCTACAGCAGCAGCAGCACGAACAGCAGCAGCAGCAGGTGCAGGAGCAGCAGCAGCAGCAGCGTCAGCAGCAAGAGCAACGGCAGGAACTTCCACAGCAGCAGGACCAGCAGCCGCAGCATCAGCAGCAACAGGAGCAGCAGCAGCAAGAACAGCAACAGCATCAACAGCAGCAGCAGCAGGAGCAGCAGCAGGAGCAGCAGCGGCGGCAGGTGCGGTGGTTTCTCGGGGGCCGCCAGAGCTCGTCTGTTGAGGCCCGTCGGGCAGTGCTTGCAGCAGCTATATCTAGTAACCCTGCAGCAGCAGCAGCAGCAGCAGCTGCTGCTGCTGCTGCTGCTGCTACCCCTGTTGCAGCAGCTCCTACTGCCGCCAGAAGCCAGGTGTCTGTGCATCTAAGCCCAGCAGCAAATGAAGCAGCAGCACTTTCAGGAGCGCGTATTGTAATTACGCGGAGGCTTCGCCGGTGGCCTGCAGCAGCAGCAGCAGCAGCAGCAGCAGCAGGAACACCAACAGCAGCAGGAGCAGCAACACAAGAAGGAGGAAGCACAGCAGCAGCAGCAAGGGGAGGAGAAGCTGCTGGTTCTTCACCTGCAGCGGGAGAGCAAGGCTCTTCGTCAGCAGCAGCAGCAACAACACCAACAGCAGCACCAGCAGCAGCAGCAGCACAAGGCCGTGGCGGAGGCGGCGTGGGTGAGGGAGTTGCTGCTGCTGCTGCTGCTGCTGCTGCTGCAGGTGGTGGAGCAGCAGCAGGACGCACACCAAGAGCAGCAGGAGCAGCAGCAGCAACTGGAGGAGGAGGAGCAGCAGCAGCAGCAACAGGATCGGGCCTTCTTGCAGGCCGGGAGCGTATGAGGACGCCTTTTGCTGCTTTTGCTGCTGCAGCAACAGCAACAGCAGCAGCAGCAGCAGCAGCAGCAGGAGCAGCAGGAGGTTCAGATGCGGAGGAGGAAGCTCTAACAAAGGCAGCAAGACACGCAGAGAGAGAGTTAAACAAATCTTTACAGCGAAGTGCTGCTGCAGCAGGGCCTCTGTGGCTACACCCTGCTGTTGCTGCTGCATACCGCAGCAGCATTAGAGGTTGGTGCGGCTGGCCGCGTCTCTCTATTTTAAAAACGCTTGTAGAAGCAGATATCCTGCAGCAGCTGCAGCAGCACTGGAATAGGCTTATGCACGACAGCAAGCAGCAGCAGCAGCAGCAGCAGCAGCAGCAACAGCAGCAGCAGCAAAAACAAGAGCAGCAGCAGCAAACGCGAGACCAGCAGCAGCAACAGGAACTGCAGTCGGACACAGGCAGCAATAGTAGCCGCAGCAGCAGCAGCAACAATAGTAGCAGCAGCAGCAGCAGCAGCTGTTTCTCTTCAGCTGAAGCAGATGCAGCAGGGGCCTGCGGGAGACAAAAGAGACAGCGCATTTCGAGAGACACCGCATCAAGTGAAGACAGCCCTGAAGCATCTGCTGCTGCTGCTGCTGCTGCTGCAGCGGCCGCAGCAGCAGCAGCAGCAGCGTCTCCAGCAGCAGCACCATTGCTTGCAACGGAAGGAGGAGTAGCAACAGATAGCCCCGCAGTAGGCAAGCCTCCTTCAGCAGCAGCAGTAACTGCAGCAGAACCAACAACGGCAGCAGCAGATCGTGTGGCAGCAGCAGCTGCAGCAGCAGCAGCAGGAGCTGCTGCTGCTGCTGAGCTTCTTCACCTTCGGTCGGGCACCCTGACGTCTCCCTCCTTCTCTCAGCAGCAATTGTCTTCATGTGCTCCTTCAAGAGCAGCAGCAGAAGCAGCAGCAGTGGTAGCAGCAGCAGCAGCAGCAGAGGAGCCAACAGCACCAGCAGCAGCCGATGCAGCAGCAGCAGCAGCAGCAGGGTCTGAAGCACGGCATCCTTGTGCATTTATGAGTGCTGCTGCAGACTCATCTCTTCCTTCAAAAGAAGAAGAGAGTTGCTGCGGTGCTTCTGCTTCCAGCAGCAGCAGCAGCAGCAGCAGCAGCAAGTTGACGCAGGATGAGGAGCAGCAGCAGCAGCAGCAGCAGGAGCAGCAGGAAGGCTCCGACGCGCATGCAAAAAGCAGCAACATGCTGAAGGAAGTAACGGAGGCGTGGGTTAGTGAATTGTTTGCTGCTCCAGCAGAACAGCCTTTAAGTCTGCAGCTGATGAGGCTAAGG